GTATACTGGCAAATGCATTCTCACAGTGAACTGAAAAAGTACCACTTTAAAACCAGATCAATATGATGTTCACGTTATAGATTTTTTTAAATCTGTCTTTTTTTTTTATGAAGCACCTTTTTTGTTTGATTTTATACTATGGCTTGGGAATCCTCATAACACATGTACTCACTACGCTGTCCTAAGTAATTTTAGTATGTTTTAAAAATATGTGTAAAAAGTCTTTGTTTGACATAATTTCTGTAAATTCCAGTGTTTCTTTTGTAAATTTGTGACTTTTAAAATTCCCTACATATGGTTTAAAACAAATATAATATCAAAGCGTTTATGATAAAGGAGTCCCAGGCTGTGTTTAAGAGGAATGTGAATTTATAGTGCCACCTTAACCATACCCACAGCTAAGGACCACTGGAAGAATGAGTCTTTAAGCCAATAAAAGCAATTTCCAAAGATAATTGAGAACATGTTTCAATACATATGCATGAAAAAAGGATTTTCCATGCCACCGACTCGTATGCTCATGTAATTGATTGAGGGGATGACCCGTTCTATTAAATGTTATTTGAGAACCATCAAAACGCGCAAAACTGCAAATTGCCCAGCTTGTATGTGAATTAATACCCCATTCATCATCATTATGAGTTGATAAGTTAATTTAACCATTTCATTCTGTCTTAATGAGCTATAGTTGAATTAATGTCATGTAATATATGAAAGTAACATTTGAACGGAGGCAATGATTTGAGACAAACCGAGCAGAGACTACTTTAGAAGCATAATGGTGGCATAAATCTCATCAGGCTGCAGCTGATGTTCGCTCGCTGGCTTTTAACACTTTGGTAAAAATATGTTAGCTATACCTGAAATAGGAAAAATATTCAAACTCAAAGGTGTCAGGAGAGAATGCTGTTGTTTTTTGGGTGAATTTTGATTGATGGGGTCAATGTTTGGATGTAACAGCTGGTGTGACAGTGTATAAACACTAAGCTGCATCAGATTCAGACGTGAGGACGATATGTTTTAAGCTGTGTTCTGGCACAATCGCACATTTGTTGAATCGGGTGAAAAGCGTTTATAGTAACAAAGGAACCAGGCTTTTTATGTGGGTTTAGTCCCAAACATGCTTGTTTTGCTCAGTTGGCTCACTGGGCCTGTCAGTCCCTCATCTGCCGCTGGGTCGACATGCGTTTGACCATCCGGGTGTTGTGCTGCCTCCTCGTTCCACCTTAAATGCGTTTTGGCCCCGCTTGCTCCCTGTAGTTTAGGGTTTTTTGTCCTCCCGCAGCAGCTGTCACCCCGCATTACTCGCAGTCAGCTAAATGAAACATTATTCTAAACATATGCATCGTAATCAGTCCGGTCACACTTACAAGAACACGCGTTAATAAGGCAATCAATCACTCTGGAACAAGCAAGTTGTTCTGTAACAGCTCATAAACAGTGTGTAATGAAGAATTGGAGGTTAGCGTGACACAGCGCTGATCAGATAATCAATGTCAAAGATGCGATGAATGTCAGTAAATGTAGTTTTCATGTCGTTTCTATAAAATCCTCAATTTACAACAAGCAGTTCAATTACCCTGAAAATACAGTCAATTAAATAGGGGTGATTGGACAGTAGGGGCAGGATCATCGATCTTTGCATTTCTATCTCGCTGGTGGACATTTAATTTGGTTTTTCTATTAGCACCGAAATAAAGAAAATATAAAATGTATTAAACAACCCAAAGATTTATTTTCTTGTCAAAAACCATTCAGCGAAGGTGACAGACAGTCCTCTGCATTATGATGAATTCTTTTTTCAGTCGTGCACATTGGATACAAAACTAATCGTGTTATTGTGGGCAGTGTTTTTCTGGCCTCTGTCTTTTCCCTTTTACACCTCCATCTATCTCGGCGCCTTTGTTGTATGGGTTGCAGCCCTCACTTTAGTAAAGAGCAAGGAAACATGGTGATATATCACGCCCATATTTGCTGCCCTAATCCTATTTCTATAATGGGGACGTTCAAAAAAGCAACTTATCTTAAAGTCCCTCGGGGCCATTCTGGTGGAGGCTATATTTTAACCAAGTGCAATTAACGACAGTATCAGCTTGTATCATTTAGAGGTAATGTAAAAATAATGGTAAATTATAGGGCCGGGATGACCCGTGATGGCAGGCCTCATATTCCCTGTAGTTTTCCACATGTTTTTAAATAATGTTAGACACAGTGTTTTCTATAGAAATTGTGTCATTGCACTAAATAAGCCTAGGTGTTTTCATTGTCGTTGAAAAAATGAATTATACCTATATATATAAATTAATATATTCATGCTGAAATAAATAGGGTATATATAAACTTAAATAAATAAATATGTGCTATATTAATATATAAACATATACCTAAAAAACTAAATGTCATTATCAGTAATGTAAAGAAACGAAAATGTGTAAACATTTTTTTTATTTTCCAAGAACAAACACGATCAATAAATAACATGATTTACATTTCATATTGCACATTTTTTTTCAAGTTAAAATATTTAAATTCATACAGTCATTGATATTTTAAATACAGAGATATAGAGTTATAACAGAGACTCGAGGGACAAAAGGCCAATACTGTTTTTCGCCATTTAATTTCAGTGCTCGTCCATCAGCCCTTTTTTTTTTCAAAAGCCTCTTTTTGAGTGGACAGTGAAGAAGAAATGTTCTCCATCACTCAGTCATAATTTTTCTTTTTTTGTTGTTGCACGAAATTCAGATCCTGAATTTTGGAAATATTGGTGTTTTACAGGCCAATTTGTAGGCTATCAGCGTGTACATCCAGTGTTTTAACATTTAAAAACATTCAGCAAGTCACACAAATAAACAAATAATAACAACAAAAAATAGTCCAAAACAAAAAAATAGCCTACCATCCACAGTTCGTGAAGCTTTTCCAGGGCGATCAATAACTCAGCTAAACCAGTAGTTGTACAATCCATGATTATTTTTTTGCAAAATATTTTTTGTCACGATTTACAGTTCACATGTTTTATAATTAACATATTGGTGATGTCCCAACAGGAACGAATAAAGTAGCACATGGCCATGGTTTTTTTTTTACAGGCACAGACAGATTGTAAAAGCCAGAGTATGATCTGAACTCAGTCCTGTCACTGTGCTGAGTGAGCAGCTCCTTCAGGGATCACACACCTATATGAAAACTCTGGCTTTTGATATAATGAGCCTCGATGTAAATAAGGAGGGCAGTGAGGTATTTCCCATGATCAGCAGACGAATTGTGAGTGGCCCCTCTTTTTACAGGCTGCTTGTGTGTGTGTGTATATAATATATTTTTTACGCCTTCCATGTGTCAGATATTATCTTTTTATGCAGTGCATTGTGTGTACCAGGACTGTCGCCTTGCTCCGGGTCTTTTGTATGTCTAATGACTTCCCTCCGCGGGTTGTTAGCACTTGACAGCGGGTCTCAGAACGAGCAACTTTCTTACAGTCATGTATTCAAAGGAGCTCCATCTAGGTACATGATTGGCAATTTTTGTCATGATCCTCTCATTATTAACATAAAAATTGACACGAAAGACGCGCTGCAGAATTATATGCACCTCTCCGGCTGATTAGGGCTGTCCCCACAGAGCAGGGGCTGGGATGGTGGAGAAGCTATGGCTGCCAAAAAAATCACAGTCTATTAGGCCTATAGTGAAGGAAGAGATGGTGATGCTGGTGCAGAGAAGCTGGACCCTATCTATATTTAGATGGTATAATTAACCCACGTTTGTGTCACGTTGGATATTTCAGTTGCAGTGGATGTGGACGTGGCCCAGTCTAAGTGTTTATTCTAATAATTTGTGGGAATTGTAGAAATAAATGCATCAAGTTGAAATCTTGATCGAGGCATGGTCGCAGAATGAGTACACTGACAATTTCTCAAATAGGTTTCCAGCACAGTCCATAAAAAATTAGTTTACTGGCACAAACACAGGGCACAGAGCTTTATAGAAAAGTATTTTCATGAGCTGCAAAAAATTCTCTGCTTAGCTTTTCATGTTATAAAGAGTTTTTTGAACTTGAGTCTGACTTTTTAGAAATTAATCTTCACGTGTGTGTTTACAGTGCTGTCAAAGAAAGGAATGCTTTACCCAGGTGTGACATTTAAAGTAGGCCTATCCCCTAAGAGCAGAAATAAGAAACGGACGCGTAAGGGTGCGTGATGAGTTATCTGTTAAGTGACGACTCTTCTCGTTGGTCTGGTGACGGGACTGAAGTCTTGCTGAGGACTGCGGCGGAATACGGCAAAAATCCACTCTCGGATCGTGGCCCCGAGGCTGTGCACGTAAAGTCAGCGCTGGCGCTCCTGGCGCCCAGCGCGCTCGCCGCCTGGCTGCTGTGGCAGCTCAGGCACGAGCAGGGCCCCGCGGCCGACGGGGCGCTGACCGCCGCCGCTGCAGCCGCGGCCGCTGCAGCCGCAGACGCCGCCGCCGAGCTGTTCAGGCCTGCGGGTGACTGGTAGAGTCCCGGGTGCCTGAAGCTGCAGAGGAGCTCCGGCCGCGAGTAAGGGTGGGAGAGTGCCCGGAAGGTGTCGAGGGGCCGGATGGAGGTGGCGAAAGGTGACGAGGCGGCGCTGGTGGCGGCGGCTGCGGCTGCCGCTGCTGTGACACCGACGTGCGGGTAGTAGTGTAGAGGCATGTGCGAGTGGAAAGGGTACGGTAGACTCCCTGTAGCTGCGGCGTGCGTCATCATGTAAGTGTAGAAGCTGGGGTCTGCTGGATGAGGCCAGGACATCGCCAGGCGCTGCCTCTTATCCTTCATCCGCCTGTTCTGGAACCAGACCTGCACACAGTCAAAACAAGGCCCATATTGAAGCTGCCATGTTGTTTCCAGGCTCTAAATTTAGACCTGAGGAGGTTCAGTGTGTTGATGCAAAACACACACTCATCCCTGCACTGGTTCTAAATATTCTTTGTAAATACTCAATTTCCTTTAATTTATAAATACCCATTGTGCGTAAAAATGATCCGCTCTCACATGCTGCTGGAGTTACAATCTTACAATCGAATCCAGTCAGTAAAATATTAAACATTTTGCAGTTCATAATTTATTTTAAATAAAAAGCATAGCCAATAATTAATTTCAGCCTCACAGTAGAATTGATTACCATGCGATGGAGCGAGCAAAATATAAAACATTAATTGTTGCACAAGATAGAACCATAAAATCTCACTGCACCATTTCATGAGTAGAAATAATAATCTTGACTATGTTTTCAGTGTCATTATTTTCAAATAACTTCTTTTTTTTTTTTTACACCTGCACCATTCATTGCACATGCACACGCCAGGCTACACGTTGCACAGGAATAATGGAGATTCATACCTTTATAGTAGTTTCGGGCAGATTTAGCGCTGCGGCCAGTTCACACCTCCTCGGTCTCGACACGTAATTTTCCCGGTAAAACTCCTTCTCCAGTCGCCCGATCTGCTCCCTGGTGAACGCGGTGCGGTACCTCCTGACCTGGTCGCTGTTTGAGTTGTTGGACCCGTTACCGTTCATGTTCTGGAGGGAGTTCGAGCTGGATGAGCCGGAATTACTGTCTGAAAACCCTAAAAATAAAAGGATAACAAAGATATTTTATTGATAATTTTCAAATAAAATGAGCTACTTGTGTGCCGGCCTTAAGTTTATTTCATAGCTTGATACGAATAAGAATAAAACAAATGCAACTATTTTAAAATGACAGTCGAGACTAACATTTTTATTCATAACAATTCTGTATTATATAGTAAAGTAGTTGTAGCAATAATAATGTTTTTGTCTACAAATACAATTTGTATAATAAAATAAAAGTAGTTGTCTTACAGTGATGAATTATAATAATGAAAATAATTTAGCTTCAGGTGGTTAGAATCAGTGTTATAATAATTTTGCTTTATTGCTGTCTTTATTTGTGACAATGAGCAGTATTACAATAATAATAATATCCTCCGCAACATTCAAATACAAAAATAAAAATGAACTCGGAATAAAATGAGGTCTGTACCTTTGTTGTTTTCCTTGTGCTGGCTCGGGGAGCGGTGCGCAGGGCATCCCACCTCCACATCACTGTTAACGTCTGATTCTTGCGAAACTTCGGAGTAAAGGCTCATTTTCTTGCGACTCTCCGACGACGAAATCTCCGCCGAAGAGCTGTTCTCGCTGCCGTGGTGCGTCCCGAACAGGCTGTCGATCTCAAACTTGCCTTTCCCCGGGATGTCCCCGAGATTTCCATGGAGGGAAGCCGAAGTTATTCTCGGGCTCAGCCGTCCGCCGTGCTGGGAGTTTTCCAGGGCCTCCAGCACCGAGTTCCCCGGCGCGTCTGCGAGCCTCTTCCCCGCAGCGACGGGACTGTGCAGCCCTCTCTCCATCAATATCATCTCTTTTCTTATCCTCTCCATCATTAAGCTGTGCAGGACGAGCAGGAAGAGAGAGGGGGAAAGGAAAACACACACACGCACGCACAACACAACACACACACACACCCACACTTGTCCAGGGGGCTGGAGCAGCAATGAGTTGTGTCGGAGCTAAATCCGCATGCAACTGCAGCAACTGTCTCTAAATAACTGTCTCTAAAGCTTTTTTATAAGCAAGACGCCGAAAATGAAAGAATCTGAATGCACCCGACGAGCTCAGGATGAGGCGAGCATCCTCCCCTCCTGCAGCGAAATGTCATTCATCAAAAAACAAGTGCCCGCTGCTGTTTCGTTGTTAAAATGCTCGGCTGACGTTCCTCCAATGATCATTTATTGTAACAGGTTTATAAGCAAATAAATAGGAGAGGGCTGTCACTTGATGATGGAGGCGGCCTTCGGTCAGACGAATAATATCCAAGTGGAGAAGGAGGAGAGGAGTGAGGAGCGAGGTGCGCGTCCCTGCGCTGATCTGACTCTGTCTCTCTCTGCTCCTGGGTTTGGCCTCTTGGGTGAAATTGACAGTCTGATTAATAAAATGAGCGCTGCAACATTTCCCTCTTCATTTAGGAATATTATCATGCTTTGATTCTCTATTGTTTCCCCTCCTCTCTCTCTCTCTCTCTTTCTCTCTCTCTCTCTCTGTGCCCTCCCCCTCTCTAATCTCCCCCTCTTTTATTTATTTATTCCTCTTTTGTCTTTTTATTTCTCGTAGTTTTTACCATCCTTGCCATTTACGCACATTAACGTGCACGATTGTGATAAAACATTAAAAGTGAAAATACTTCTTGAGTTTTTAGGACCTTGTGGGTTTTTTTTGTGCATTTCTTTTTTTGCATTATTCGTCAAATGCACATTTTGATGTGGTGATAATGGGACCATTATTACACATCTCCACACCACAGCACACAGTTGTGTATTTTGAATGCATATAGAAATAAGTCATCTTTTAAAGTAACTAAAACATACAAATCTTTTTAACCGTAATCCTTATTTCATTTTATTTATTTTTTTCTGTTTCACATTTTTTTCGATGGGCTCTTGATTTAAACGAATAAACGAATGCCACTGAGATTTAACATTTTATATTCTCGCATTATACATTTTTAACACAATCTTTTACAAATTTTTTAGATTATTACTGCAAAATATTTCCCCTGAGTCATGCACCCTCTGTTAGCTTCGTGCTAATGTTTGTATTTATCGAAAAGGACTGGTACATGTTTATGCAGCTGGTTAATTCTAACGGAGGCTCTTATATGTAAAGACATCACAGCCATGCATGGACTCCTGGTTTTTCCATGTGAGGAGACGATCCCTGCAGATCCTCCTCTTGTACGTCCTCTGGCGCCTCCTGCAGGATTTCTATGGTAATTGCAGTCTTTGATGGTGTCTGTTGAATGGATGTGGGCTTCACCTGATGTCCTGACCTTAACACTGAGTACATGAACACGGAAGTAAAATAGATTAAGATTATATATTTTAATTTGGGAGCTGGTTAATGATTTTAAAGGTTCAGTGCGAGAATAGAGTGACATCTAGTGGTGAAGTTGCATGTTGCAACTGAATACCCCTCACCTCACCCTCCTCTTCCAAACATGAGTGAACCTGAGGTAGCTTCAGTTGTCATTAATACTCAAAAGGTTTAGTTTATCTTGTCTGGGCTACTGTAAAAAACATGGTGGGCTCTGTAGACAGAACACGCTCTGAGTATAAAGTACATTTTTTAATATAAAGTGCCCATTCTAGGGTCAAGAAAACAAAATTTGAGATATTCAGATGAAACACTAGTGAAAACAAAACTAGGAATGTTTTTCATTAAATTTCTTCTAATAGCTCCCTTTTACCTAATTTTTACACACTGGACCTTTAAGCTGCTGTTGAGCTAAAAAGCCTTGTTCTTTTTGTCATTTTGTGTAATACTGGTGAGCAACAGGATGTACGGGAACCTGCATTATAATAACCACACACTTCATGGAGCTAATCCTATAATAGTATAATACAATTCTACTTACTTAGTCATTTTGTTGAAGAAGCTTTTTATGCAAACTGCCGTTTTACTTTTAGGCTTGTAAGGACATTCATGTCTTACAGCTCAGCTACATGAAAAAAACAGTTAATACAAAAGTTTACTGAACACAATGGATTATTTGGGGTCTTGAATTAAACAATATGAAATTTAAGAAACACATTGATATGCATTCTCCTCTCTAAGAGCTTTAGGAATTTGCATTTAATATAATTAGGTCATTTGCATACATGTGCAGCTGATGAATTCCCATGAACAGTTTCATCTTAAGGGACAATCTTATGCTGCAGGTGTGCTGCATAATATTTGTCTTTACCTTTTGTGTGAAATCTCTTTTCTGCTCAGCTCAACAATGCAGAGAGAATGTGTTAATGTGTTTTTGTTTCAACAGTTTAGTTTCATTAAAGATATGAAATGGTTTTCTGAATCATATGCAGCACAATATAAAGATTGTTGGATTATAAGATCTCCAAACTCATAATATTCACTTTTGTCGTCTATGTGATTTCCTTTTTTCTCAAAAAATAAATTAAAATGAGCTTTTATATTTTAAGTCACAGTAATAGAATCCCAGGTGTAAATAATAACATTCACAATGTTTGAGTTTGACTTCTCTGTTCAAGTTTCAGGTGTTTCCCGGACCTATGTATTATTGGGACACTTGGATAATGTTATTAGTTACGCCTGAGATTCTTTGACAATTCAAATGTCTCCTGTAAAGGTCTAATGTCAGAGGATAAATGTTTTTTTGTTGAGTAACTCAAAACCCCCATGGTCCATCCATCACACACTATCAGTGCTGACGTCTTCCCTTCTCCTCTGATCCATTTATACTTGAGTGCATGAGTTTCTCGTGGATGACTTGAAGTGGCTCTCAGGCCGTTCTTCAGGCCGATTCATGGCACAGATGCATTACAAGCTCTTCACATGAAGTTGCACTAAAGAACGACCGTAGCACTCACTGGGTGGACTTTTAAGAACAGCTGGGTCTATAAATACACAAACCTGCAATGGGATAGATTGAAAAGTTTCTGGGATTATTTTTAAATGACTCGTCTCATCACTCAGGGGCCGAGGCTATAGATTGAGACTGTTAAACTGGGGGAGGAGGGAAAGAGCAAAAGTCAGAGGGTGTCTTATGTTTCACTATTCCCACTGGATAATTCTCTGTTATTGTATGTTTCTATATGCATAAGCTAATGAATTGAGAAACTAGATCCTGGCTCTCTTTCTTGATTAACATCCCAAGAGCCTGTTTTTCTCATGAGATTATTTAACTGTAAAATACAATGAAATTGAAAAAAATACTGTACATAAGAACCTACATTGACATCTGTAAAAGTCAATATGAAGCACAAAAAACTGGAAAGCTGCCTTTTTTCTCAAAGTGCCTTTCCAAAGAAGCCATAGATTTTTTAGAAATACATACCTTCACATTTTCCTCTGTGGCTGAGGGGGTAGAGCGTCGTACTTACCTAACCAGGAGGTCTGCAGTCTGATCCCAGTCTTCCCCATTTGCATGCCTAAGTGTCCTTGGGCAAGACACTGAACCACAAATTGCCCCTCATAGGAAAAGTGCTGCCCATAGATGCCCTGTAAGTGTGTGTGTGTCATAAACTGAACAAGCACTTTGAGTTGTCATCCAGACTAGAAAAGCCCAATGTTAATACTGACCATTTGCCATTCCATTTATTTATGTGTAAGTACAATATGTTCTGTAAATGTGTTCATGTTTGCCAGCCAGCTAATTTTCTAATAGCTGTTCTTTGTGAAAATGCTCTAAAATCCCTGGAGTCAGGTTGAGAAATACTAACAAGATACCAAAGCCACAACAATAGTAATAAGATCAGTATTCGCAAGATTGTGTACAAGCCATTCAAATGATCTGAAAAGCAGCAAAACATTGATGGAATAACTTCATGATATCAGACACTGTTGGGGAGGATTAGCCGAGGAGGGAGCCTGCAAGGCTGAGCTGAGGCTGGACAAACGAGCAGCAACCGTCATGGCTGACTTGAACTGGATTAGACACTTGTCAGTCAAGCAAATATCCTCCAACACACATTTCTCCCTCGAACGTTAACGTCTCTTTTGTGGAACAAGCAGTCAAATTCATCAATAATCATATACAGAGGATATAAGACTGTTTCTGGTAAGAGGTTGTAAGGGGCGCTGGTCCCTGTCACGGCCCTGACCCATTCTCTGGTCCCAACCCTGGTCCCAACCACAAAGCTAATTCTTGCTTAAATTCTGATATATAATATGTAGAAATGTAACTTCATGGAGACTGGAGGAACGATAATTAATGACATACTGCACAGTAAACTAGCTTCAACATAAATATTGGTTGAAAGTATATCGATCTGTATTGAACATTCAACAAACTCAAGTCCTTGTTTTTTAATTGCTCATCAGAAACAGATTATAAGCGTAAATATTTCATTATTAAAGAGAGATAATAATGAAAACATGGTATCGATGCTACAGCCATCAAAATAGATTAATTCAGTTTTAAGTCAAGTGAAGATATTTGGGCATCCGTCCAATAGGCTATGGTTAATGTAGTTTGGTCAGCAAGAAGATGTAAATGAGCCATCTTTATATACAACTGACTTCCAGCATTGATACGTTCTTAAAGGCACATTTTTTAAACAACTCCTCATTTCACATTGTTTCATGCATCCGACCAATACTATTTATTTCAGTTTATTAAGGTCTGGTTGGTAGATTGTTGAATATGTATGAGTGAGTGTATGACTGTGAAGTTGTTCACTCCCTGAGCACTTTATTAAGAACACCATACTAAGACTGGGTTGTTCCTCCCTTCTGCTCTTATAACAGCCTCCGTTCTTCGTGACATGATCACACTGGTGATTCTGTGGATTTGTCATTTGCACATTCGTGCTGTGAATTCCCCCCCCCCCCCCCCCCCCCCCCCCCCCCCCCCATGGTCATCTGCTGGCTTCATATCTGGTGACTGTGGAGGCCAGTGAAGGATACTGATCTGATTGTCATGTTTGAAACGACTTGTTTGTGGCATGGTGCATCATCATGCTGGAGGTGGCCGTTGAAAGATAGTAATCTGTGTCCATAATGGT